AGCGGCCGACTTTGGGAAGATCAATCGACGCGCGGGGAGGAAGCTGCTGGACCGCGAGCGGCATGCGTGTCGGAAAAAGTGCAATGTCCTCCTTCGAAGGCGTGATACTGGTCGCGGCGACGCGCGAGAATTAAGAGGCCACGGCAATCTCGACGATCTCTGGACTCTTCTTCAAGAAGAACTTACCTTGCAAGGAGAAAGGAAGAAAAAGAGGGGGGGGGGGGGGGGAAAAAGAGAATTTATTATATTGCACTAAGATATTAAATCCGCTGAAGGAAGATAGAGAAAAGATAAGAAGAGAAGGAGAGAATAATAGAAAAAACAAGGGAGAGAAGAAGAAAGTCAATTTTATTTTATATATTTTATTGCGTGAGATCGTCCGAGAGAAGAGAGAAAAAAAGAGAGTAACAAAAAAAGGATAGAGAAGGAAGAGGAAAACAGAGAGTGAAACTCTATTTTTTTGCAGTCGTCTGTTTGTCGCACGAGATATGACCACGTGGACGCTATATAATAAAGATCCGTGTATAATTTGTCACTCACATTAATTATAATCGCTCAATTCGATCCACGAAGGCGAGTGACATTCTTGAAGATTAGTGCTTTATCTGATCTCTAATTTATTTTGCTTCTTCTTTGACGGTATTTTTGATCGATAGGAAACAATGGGAGATACAACTCATCAGCGAAATTCTACACGTGACATATGCGAATAATAATTCAATTTACTATCAGTATGTGATAAGCCGAATTCTGTGTTCAATATTTCGTTCCTTATCGTTAAGAAAAAAAATTGTTTCTTCGAGACGAATGATCGATAGTCACGATAAATCGCGGTGGGTCACCGCGTTGTGTTCAATGCCTTGTGTTCGTCCTACTTTTTGCTCCAAGCACTGCCATATAAGTACTCACTGCCCGCCGGCGCGTATTACTTTATGTTACACGACATAATCTGTGCCGTCTTCCGATATGTCGTTTGCCGTCGACTGCCTGAATTTCGCGCTTCTTCTCATCTGCACGCGCGTGTTTCATCTCGCTCTTGGAATCAGCGCTCAGTATTATAAGGTACATTTCAATAATCTCTAAATTATTATAGTCGCAAGGAAGCTGCTTCGAAATGAAAAGAGATACTATACTTTATAAAGAATTTTATATGTGTATGTAAAATTTAAAATAATTTTTACAAAAATATTTTAAAATAATTATTTAATTGTGTGTGTGTCTATATATATATATATTAATTTTAATTATTATATTCAAATAATTTTTTTTTCAGGCTCAATTAGACGCGCATTTGAAGCTTCACGGAGAAAAGTGGGCGAATGAGGATGTTGGTGTACGAAAGTGTAAATTATGCAACAAGCAATTCACGCAACCTGCGCTCTACCGAATGCACATTCGCGAACATTATAGGGTGAGTAGGAAGAACTTATCAAGTACCGTAAACTATTATCCTTTTTTTCCTTGAGAAGAACCTTTATGTTGCTAGTAAAGCTAGTAAAGCTTTGCTCTCCGGGGGTCTTATCGCGTTTATTTCTCTACAGCTACAGACGAAGATAGTAAAGCAAACTAAGAGGGGAACGAAACATAAAACAATGTACAAATGTACCATATGTTTGAAGAATTTCCAAAAGCCGAGTCAGTTGATGCGGCATATCAGAGTGCACACCGGAGAGAAACCGTTTAAGGTAAAAGCTCTTTTTGCATATATAAATAAATGGTTTGAACGAACGATTGTTTCACACGTATCTTTTTACTTGTGCAGTGTACCGTTTGCAACAGGGCATTTACACAAAAAAGTTCACTACAAATTCATGCATGGCAACACAACGGTATTCGGCCACACAGCTGCAATCTCTGCAGCGCCAAGTTTAGTCAAAAAGGTTCGAGAATTTGCGATCAATATTACATGTAATGCGCCGAAAATTGTACATGATAAGAAAAGTTATTCTAAATTAATATTCTATATCCATCGACGGTTTCTTACTTCTCTATCTTCCAATTTTTCAGGAAATCTAAAAGCGCATATACTCAGAGTACATAATGCACCGGAAGGCGAGCCGACGTACGCCTGTTCTTATTGCTCTTGTATCTTCAAGAAGCTGGGCAGCTTAAATGGCCACATAAAGCGAGTGCATTCTAATCCGGAGGAGGTAAGCGCGATATTCGGTTGTTTTGTGTTAAAATGATTCGAATAAAAAAACGTCATGCTTGTTTAGGAATCCGCCGATAAATCCTCGGCAGCTAATTCTAGTATCTCTTCGGAAGCTGACATGCGCGCGACGGTTGATAGCGTTATATCGCAGTTGGCGTCTTTGGAAGCCGTCGTAAATAATACCGCAGGTTCCACGGGGTCCGCGACGTTGAATGCAGAGCAGAACGATATCCTGCAACAGGCGTTGAAAAATAGTGGTTTGCCGAACAAAAACGAAGTCCCTTTGAAAGGTAATTATTCCTCATATATTCGCCATTTGTTACAAAATGAACATCACATCTAATGTTTTTTTGCTCGTAACAGAGATCGCAGAACCGAAAAAGACGGATTTGCCAACAACATATGTCACATTGTTGGACAAGACTGCTGGCAGTTCTTCGAAGTAATGCTCTTTATTTTACGCGAAAATATAAAATCACGACGGAAAGTAGATCGGCAATTTAAAAAAATTTATAGATGATAATCTAAAATTATGGACAATGACTATTAAATGCGACAAAAAAATGCTCTGTTTACTATTATAATTTGGAAAATAAATAAAACTACTTACATTTGCAGGAAGTATCATGCTATAAAGCAACGTTGCATAGGAAATGTACGGTGGTACGTATGTTCGTTCTGCCCGAAAGAATTCAAAAAGCCGTCGGACTTGATACGTCACTTACGGGTGCATACGCAAGAAAAGCCCTTTAAGGTAGATAGATCTTTCGTTCATTCGAATTCACAATCGCGACAAATAGACAATAAATAATAAAGTCATTCTGTCTTTTAGTGTATGTATTGTGTGCGTTCTTTCGCGCTAAAATCGACAATGATAGCGCACGAGCGAACTCACACCGGAATAAAGAAATATGCTTGCGCTTCCTGCAATAAAACTTTTGCGTGCCATAGTAGTCTTACCTCTCATACAAGGTAAACTTCTTTGTCGTATATAATATAATCTAATTTATTTTAAGTTTTAAAGCTAAGCTAAATTTTTATGCTTTATACATGTATTTTGCTTTATTCTTTTTCTGAGTATGAATTGCATATCTGTATATATATTGTATCCTCTACACTAAAATATTAATTTTTAGCAATAGAAATCTATTCCTCTTTTCAGATTACATATGAAACCGCACAAATGCAATATATGCGGCAAGTTATTCAACTCGAGCATCATCCTGAAAAATCATATGAAGTGTCACATGCGGGAAAAGCCCAAAATATCGCCGGAGGCGGAGAGCCTGGTGCCGCAAGTAGTACTGCAGGAGCCACTTGTCATCAGCGACGCCGGTAACAAGATCAGTGTTGCCCAAGTGCAATCGAAACAAAAGCAATTGTACGAGAACGCTGGCGTGACCAGGCCGCATGAATGTTTGGTCTGTCATGCGGCATTCAGGAAAGTCAGCCATTTGAAACAACATTATCGCAGACATACCGGCGAACGTCCTTACAAGTGCTCCAAATGCGACAGGTTTGAGATTTTATTACTTAACTATAGATTAATTTACAATTTGCAATTTGCAATTTGCAATATACATATATCGATCAAAAATTTTTACGGTGCCACTTTTACAGGAGGTTTACATCAAATAGTGTCCTGAAATCTCACTTGCACACGCATGACGACGCAAGGCCGTACAGTTGTTCGGTATGCAACACAAAATTCTCCACGCAAAGTAGCATGAAGAGGCATTTAGTCACGCATAGCAATAAAAGGCCATTTATGTGTCCATATTGTCATAAGACGTTTAAGACGTATGTCAATTGTCGAAAACACATAAAAAGACACAAGCACGAACTGGTGCAACGGGTACATATTTAAATTCTAGAAAACTTGTTGATGAAATGTGTTAAAATATTAAAGTTTCATATATGTTTTAAATAGCAATTAGAGGAACAAAAGACGCAAGAGCAGAAGGAACAACAGCCTTTGAGAGAAAACAAAGAAGCTGGCTCAGCTCAAGCCTTATCGGCAAGCATCACTCTCACCGAAGATATGGAAGTGTCGTTCCAACCGCAAATGGCGCCAGATTTCACGCAAGCTTTTTCTGATCACTTTCAAAATATCAACGCAGGGAAAGATAAGTCTTTCTTATTGACAAACAGCGCGACAACGTCAGCAGCAAACCGTACGTTCTCCAACAAATATAAAATGTACATCAGATTTTGAAAGAAATCGATTATATACATTTATATATACGTAATTATATTTTTCAGAAAATTTATCTGTCGACACAACTAATTTAGAAACTTCACAAACTTTACATGCCGATGAAACTGGCACCATCACGTTGTCTCATTACTCAGGGGATCAAACCTTCACAGCGGTACATAGCATTAATAGTTATAAAAAATGCATAAGTATTACGATATAAAGAGAAACAAATAACATTGGCATAAAATTTTGTAGGAAAGCATACAAGAAATCGAAGAGACATTGAATCAACAACTGTTTAATATTGGCATGAATCTCGGACTGGCAAACAATCTACCGAAGCAAATGGAGACGAATACGAATTCTCTTGACAATTCCAGGGAACAGCCGGTGCTCAATATAATTTATGAGCATAACAAAAATCTGGATTCGTCTGGCAATACTATATTCACGTCGCAATTCGATTCATTTGATATGAGCCAGATTACGTTACAGGTGAATGCACTTTCTACACAAGAGAGTGATATGGTTCTAGAACTAAAATGTCAGCAATAAAACATGCACACTGTAACCTATTTTTTAACTACTTCACTGATATCTCTTTATATAAATATGAATTTCAATAATCGATTTTGCAGACGGACAGTGAGATGGACATCAATTTGAATCCGACCAACACAACGAGCATATCTGGTATTTTGCCCAGATCCGTGGAAGGAGATGACAGACAAGAAGAACAACGTGCTATTCCGGTTACTACAGTCGATAGTATAGACGCTTCTGCAATTACGAAGAATGCTCATCTAATGGTAATAAATTCTAAGGATAATTGTTCGGAATTGGTGAGCCTTTCGCAAGTATGTCCATCGAAGTACTCGAAGATCATCGCGAAAGCGGACACTACAAACGGATTAATCGAGATGCAAGACGCGACTGAACATGAAAAAGCGCCACAGAAAAGTAATGTTATATCATGCGAGAGCGAGAGAAATTCTTTATTCATGTAAGTCCTTCTAATTTATATGTGAAATCGTGTTATTATAGAGCAATTAAAAGATATATGGTACTTGCAGGAACAACTTTCAAAGTACGATACAGCCGGATACGCTCGTCTGTGGGCGAGAGAAATTCTTTATTCATGTAAGTCCTTCTAATTTATATGTGAAATCGTGTTATTATAGAGCAATTAAAAGATATATGGTACTTGCAGGAACAACTTTCAAAGTACGATACAGCCGGATACGCTCGTTTCTTCAGGAACAAATAATTCTGCCAAAATATCGGAGTACAATAATTTATTAGAGTGTCATATATGCCATCGTAATGGTTTCACGGCAGAGGGATTGAAGGTAATATTTTCGGAGTATTTGTACATTACGATGTGAGATTATAACTATTTGCTAAATCACGTAATAAAACCGATTTGATATTCAATAAAATCAACGTAATCTCCGCAGGAACATTTGGAATCTCATTGCGGTGCCAAAATGTATGAATGTCCGACGTGTTCCCAGCGATTCCATACGAATGGTGGTCTCAACAGGCACACGAAGAGGCTGCACACAGAGTAAGCAAATTGATTGATAGAACAATGAGAAATATATCTCTTAAATTCATTTCAGTAGAACATCTAAAAATCTTTCTGGTTTTGTGTGTCATACAGGCTATTGAAATGTACGACATGTAAGAAGGTGCTGGACAGTAAATCACAATTGAAACATCACAGCAAAATGCATAGCGGGATTTTAAAAGTTGTGCGCCTGGGACCGAACGAAAAGGATGCGATCTCCTCTAGTTCTTGTCTTCCGTCTATAACGATGCTAGACGTCCGAATGAACACGGACTCGTCGGTATCTGAGAAAGTATTAATGGACGCAGTTGCCGAGAGGAAAAGCATGGACCGCGTAGACGTGAGTACACATGTATTTTCATCGCTTTTTAAAATATTTTTATATTTATATCAAATGACTTTCGATCGTTCAGGAAAACGCGGAGAGAAAAGAGACGAAAGAATATACGAACAAATGCAAGTACTGTCCAAAAACCTTCCGGAAACCGAGCGATCTCATTAGGCACATTCGCACGCATACGGGCGAGCGGCCATACAAGTGCGATCACTGCAACAAGAGCTTCGCGGTTAAGTGCACTCTAGACTCACATATGAAGGTTCACACGGGCAAGAAAACGTTTTGCTGCCACGTCTGCAACAGCATGTTCGCTACGAAAGGCAGTTTGAAGGTCCACATGCGACTGCACACGGGTAATTTCCCAAATCATTTTATGTATCGTAAAGTATGTAATTGAAGGAGGGAAAGAATTTTTGTTTAAAATTAAAGCTTTTGTCACATTCCACGCTATTACATTTTTCTGTAACGATAGCTTAGTATTTCATTTCAAAATTTATGTCTACAAATGAATTGAAATCAAGAAATAAATTCCAGTACCAGAAATGTTTCATCCATTTAAGATTTTCAAATGTCAGAGTTATATATGCGCGATGAAAATAAAAATTTTATTTAAAACTTGAATAGGTTAAGTTAGGTATAATAATTTGCGATAAATTTTCAGGTTCTAAGCCGTTCAAGTGTCCTATGTGCGACCTGCGATTTCGCACTTCGGGTCATAAGAAGGTGCACATGCAGAAACATGCGAGAGAACATAAGGGCGGCGCGAAGCGCAAACCTAAACACCAAAAGATCGCGGCAGTAGCGGAAGTGGCGGCTAGCCTCGAAAAGATTGGTAACAGGTCTTTGGACCACACATCGAGGACGACGACGACGGCGGCCGTGATCAATGGCGGCGAAGTTGCGCCATCGCAGAATCTTGATTATTCCCCGTTGGAACACAATGAAATGAATCTTAGTGGCGCGGTTCACTTGCCGAATCAAATCGCGTTTAATCATACCGATGCGACAACAACGACGATTCTCAACAACAATTCCATGCTGTCTTTAAACGACAGTAACGAGTTGGTGGCGAATCTGCAATTTCTGCTGGCGAACGGTCTCGTCACTATCCAAACAGACGATACGATGCTGACGACGCAGCCAGCATTAAACAGCGCCGCTGAAATGCCGACCAACGTGATCGAATTAGTTGGTACGAATCCTTTCCAGGAAGCTTGCAATCTGGGTAACGCCAATCATCAGATAGTGATAACCAGCCAAGTATCAAGTGAGACGACGACCACGAATGCGACCGACGCGGCGATTATTCAAATGAACGATTGCTTGCCACCCGTTTCCATAGTACAGATGCAGAATCAAGATACGAACGTTGGTGGTGACGAATCCAAAGTAAAGACAAGCATTCAGTCAACAACGACAATATGTGACAGTCAAGCCGTGGCGACGGAGACAGCTAAAACCTCGACGCAGTCATCGCGGAAGGAGTGCGACATATGTGGCAAGACCTTTACAAAGCCATACCAGATGGAGCGGCACAAGCGCATTCATACAGGCGAACGGCCATACAAGTGCGAGCAATGCGACAAGTCATTCGCGCAAAAGTTTACACTGCAACTGCACCAGAAGCATCATACCGGCGATCGGCCGTATCCCTGTCCGCACTGCAAGCACTCGTTCACACAGAAATGCAATTTGCAAACTCATCTGAAGCGCGTCCATCAGCTGGTCATGCTTGACGTCAAAAAACTAAAAAGCGGTCAACAGATGCTGGGCGCGCTTCTGCAGGAAAATCAAGGAGCGGACACCAAATTGATGAATCTGGATGACATACTGGTGGTAGATTTTCTCAAGTGAATATTTAAGGGAGCTCTTTTCAAAAGATGCTCTTTTCCAGAAGATTCAATCCTGTGATTCAGAGATTTTCGAACAGAGGACACAGATAGATATATAATATAACGTACTGAAAAAATGTGCCGTAAATGTGTTATCGATGATTAAATATTACGCTTCAAAATATCAAACAAACATGAAGAAAAGTTTCGAATTTTAGACAAATAGTTAAAGCTGTGATGAATGAGAGATATATTATATATCGCTTATGCTATAACAAAATATCTATATACTCGAGATGTAATTTAATATCCCGTTTAACTAGTTTACACTATATTGTTAAGTTTTATAATATTAATCCACACTGGTGAGACCATCGCATATGTGTTTTTTTCATTTTAGCTTTGACGTGCACAATCGACATTTATTTTCTTTTTTTATTTAAAATAAAATATATTGTTAAATGCATCATTGCACTCAAATAATAGAATTCCAGAGTATGAAATACAACATAATAAGCAATGAAGGAACTCAATGTTGAAAGTCACAGTCGATCTCGAGAGCGGGACATCCATCGGGATGGTTCTTGTAAAACCAACAAGGCTTAATTTTTCTCAATAGTTCACTGTTGTTCCTTTTCCTCCTAGCTTTCTTCCTTTTATCAACAATGCCGGGAATCCGAAATTGCACTTTTCCTTGAGTGACGCAGAAAATATGATTATGATTCTTCAGTAAAGTTTGCAATCCTCCGCACTCGTTTCGTAGTTGTCGCAGCATCTCAGGCGCCAACAGCTTTGCCACTTCACCGATGCCGACCTGCCCACCGGCGTTCCACGTTTCACCGGGTCTCCGTTCCAGCGATATTCTGCGATTGGCCCGCAAAAGATGTGCTACGACTACGTTGACTATATCGAGAATTAGTTCTCTGTCTAATTGCGTGCAGTTCCGCGTTCGTTCCGTCGAACTTCTCGGTTTAAAGCTTAGAGACCACGGATCATTCTTCGCTTCGCTTCCTACGGTTTCTTTCAGAGGTAAGGTGGCAACTGCCGATCTCGCATTTATCATTTTCTGAATGTCGGCGTCCAGCGTCGCGGAGTTCTCCCTCGCGTAAGTCCTCTTCCATCCGACGAAACAAGTTCGCTTAGTCGACGGGATTCGCAATCTGTCCATTAGTGTGAGAAAACCGCAGCCTTCGCATACACTCTTAACGTAAGACATATACTCTGAATATTGACTCTCGCCGGCGTTGCACCGCCGATATTTCGCACCGTCGAATTCGTAGGCGCAGCACGGCAGCAGGAAGAATCGGCACTCGTAAGAACTACGCGCCGCAATTACCGGGATCCACGGGGTGAGCTCGTCCGAATGATTCCCTATGATCCAGTCCACTCCGGGAAAAACTGTCTCTGCGGATGGAACAATCGTGCTGACCTGGTACGCACAAATCACAGTATGATTATTATACTAGAATATGTACAGTAAAAAATTATTATTAATATTTATAACAGAATGTAACAGTGCAATAGAAATATTAGCAAAAAGCATTATTAAAAAAATTACAGTCCATAAAATTCGTGTACAATTATTACACAACAATATTTATCAATTTTTGACATAAATAGCATAAAAGAATTGCCGACAACAAATTATTGTCAACGAGTAAAAGAAAATATGTGGATTTAATTATGGACTGCTATAATATCTGAACTCTCTTCAATAAATTATAATTGTATAGCGAATATTGTATACATACTTGCAAATGAGTACTTTTTGAGAACAGGTCCCAGATCTTTCTCCTGCGCAAATCGATTCCCGTTCCTTTATGACCCTCGCTAGACAAGACGTAGACGAGAAGACCATTGCCGCAGCCGAGATCGACGAATGATTGCAGCTCCTGCATATCCTTTTCCAATCTCTCTTTTTCCCATAGTAGCAACAGGTATGTCGCGATCGCGATATCCTCATAAACAAACTTTGCCGGATCTGTGTTCTCTGGCCATATTTCCACCATTTTCGTGCCATATTTTTCCTTTAAGCGATTGTATAACAAAGTGTACTTCTCGATAGAGATGAGACTGAGAGAACTGATTTTCGAATTGGCTCCATCATTTTCGCTTTCCATCCACTTTATTAGACGCGGGAAAAATTTGAATCTCAGCCAGTCACAACTTTTGCCATAGTTATCAGCATCCGATTTATGTACATTTATACAGGTGGAACCGTATTCGTGATGCTGTATACTATAAGGTGTATTCGGACCTAAAGACTGTTTATCCGAAATGATCGGTTTATGGAAATTAGTAACGCTGATGGATTTCTTGTCAATAAATATAAATTCCAGCGTAGGCGAGAATATCTGTGTGTTGCGAGGCAGAAGTTTCTTCATACACAGATACACTTTATCATCATTTAATACCTTAAGTGGATCCGTACATTCAAATGATTGACAATATTCTGTGATATTTAACGTATCTAATAAGTCTTTTATATTTCTTGAAGATAAATCACACTCGAAATCATTAGGTTGGATATGAAGCTTCTCAATGCGTTTGAAAATATCCAGAACATTGCAACTGACTATGATTGTTAATAGTTCGCGAGATCCTAGAATCCTACGATTAACAACATGAGGATTTCTCATCCAGATAGCGATTGCTTTCCAAAATTGCGAGGCACTGCTGTTGGTGCTCTCGCTAGCAATCTGTTCAAAATTCATTTTGCTATCTAATACTAATATATGCATACATTAAGATATATATTGATTATTTATCATTTTGGCATTGAAGTGCTACCTGGTTGTTTATACTGTCAAACAAGAAAAAGATATAAATTATTACTGATTCGAATATCTCCAATATATATAATTCCAACTTAATTTACATGTCAATAGGGAGAAAGTACCTTTTGTATCACCCATTTGGCATCTAACAATGCTCGTTCCATAATTTGCTGTATACGTTCCTCATCAGATTCTGACGCGTGCTGCTTGAAACTCTAGAAGAGGAATAAGCCTTCGTTAACTCAAAAGTTATTAATGAAAAGAAAATTTGCCATCTCTAAGATTATTTTTTTCGCGAAGAAACGCAATGGCTTTTTCCTTCTCTTCCCATTAGATCTATACTTTACTTTTAATATTTTCAATTTTGATTATTCTACATTTATATTTTAATAGATTGAAACTTTTTTTAAAATACTTCTGTGTATATCCAGTTATTCAAATTGGTTTATCGTTATCGAGTAAAAATATTTTTCACGTACTTGTTTGACTGAGTGCTTGTAAAATTGCTGCGTGTGTTTAGGTAGTTTTTCGCATTCACGCAATAAATATTTATACAATTGCTTAGGTGTATTCAACGTTGCACTGCCGACTCGGTTCGCCATTGTTTATCCGAGATCACGAGAGGCACATGTGGAACCGTAACTCCTCTCTTTCCTCATCTACTATTTTCGACGTATGGTATCTCATGCAGTGATTGCTAATTATACCCGTTATTGATAAAATAGAAAGTGAAGATATCATTAACCTGTTTAAAATTTTATATCACAGACAATTGCAAATTACGCTTTTGTTTTAATATCTTCTTAGCGCAATAGTCTAATAAAATTGAAATATTAAATAAAAAAGGAGATGATTAATCGGTATAGAGATTATAATATTACATAAAGATTAAAATTTTTCAAAATACAGAAAGATGTGAAAAACCATGAAAAATGTTAAAATATAAAGAAATTTCAAAGTTAATTGAATATATACAATGCACTAGCAAGTATATAAAAATAGGATTTATGCCAGGTTCTATCTAATAATACTTGGATTTTTAATGTTTGATTGTAACACTTTGTTGCAAGAAGTTATTTTAACTTATAGTGAGACTGTAATTCTTATCTCACAGTAGATTTAAAATTTACACTTACATTCAATTATTTTTCAATTTAAACAAAATTGGAAATTCTTGGAAAGCCCAGATCTTTCGCTTTTGTCAGATGACTGATCTCTATTATTGAGCTATCTATCTACCCACATATGTTATCTCTAATTTTAGGCACGACATACATAGAGAGACTATTTTCGTTTATGATGAATAAATATTTATATACAATTTATTTTTGATGCGCCACACATGATATAGAAATGAATTACAGCAAATTAAATATATGATATTATGCATTTTTTCGTTTTGAATCTTATGCAGTCTTATTCGCGTACAATTCCGTATGCAATACACATCCATAAAATATCCGGAAGAAAATTTCAAGTAAGATCACAGCAATCTTCCATAGCAACTTGAAGTACAAATATGTAGTAGATCGTCAAATACCACGGATTTATTTACGCGCTAATTATTGTATTAATGTTCCTCTACCGTCATTGACATATCGCTCATACAAACACTACTACATCACATATGCTTATATCAAAAACGCGTTTTACCAAATATCATTGTTATCAATATCGCTTACGCTATATATATATATATATATTTTATATGTATATATGTGTGTGTGATGTCACGCGGTTATCGTCGATCTGCGAAAGTGTAACGTGATATTTTAAAGCTACTATTACACTACTAAAATACCAATATATCAAAGATATTAAAAAATAAATATATATATATATTTATATATATATGTATATATATATATATATAATGTCGCAACAAGTAAAAAGAATATACAATTGTTATATACCACATGTGGTTAAAAGGACCACTTAAAATCCTCGATAAAGAGAGAGAGAGAGAGAGAGAGAGGGGGGGGAGAGAGAGGGAGAAAAGAGGGAAAGAACTGATCTTTACCGCAACAATTAAAACAAAGATATTACATGTACGAAAATCACAACCAGCGAGTAGCCAATTACTATGCTAGTATAACAAAAATATGATTAATATTATACAATAAATTATACCACACTTATATGTGGCTTCAGGAATTTTACGAAGGCAGCACTCGCTCGCTCCGTCTGTCAGAATTGTAATTCGATTAACAATTTGCTCCCAATAATGTCTCTCAATATCTGGATCTCTGCGCAATATATTGTCGCGTGCACATAGGAGCAACCCTTAAATATACTAATTACTCATTGACTATGAATTAGGCATCATTATTTTCGGCACTGTACGGCTTTCTAGTATCCTATTTGGCATATTATTCTGGCAGTTTGTTAGTTCGTAAAATGTTTCGTAAATGTTCGTAAAATATTAAACGCATATAAAAAAAAATAAGTAATAGGCAATCCATGCAGATGAGCGAATTATGTTAAAGCGTCGCGTGTAACAGGGCTGCTCTCAATGCTTATTTTCGCGCACGGAAATATCTATTAATAATCTCGTCTAGTCTAAAATCTAAATAACAAAGTATCAGCTGCCTCTCTTTGTATGTCGAGATAATCTTTAACGTACCTAGCTACCGAGTACATCATGCTAATAGAGAGGGAGAGATGTCGATTCTGACAGAGGGGAGAACGACCGCCTATGATCACAGAGGGATTCTAAAAAAGTATAGAGTCTATCTCACTTATAATAGGATTGTTTCTTTAGGTCTCGCTCGAAGACGGGCGTTCCCAGCAGCACAACCATCTACGCCACAACGGGGGCGGCTTCCTACGCCGGTATAGTAAATTGGCGCCTCCGCGTCGCGTATTGAGGGCACTGACTATCGCCTGATCGAAGGCCTCCTTGAGGTCGTGTTGCGTTAACGCGGATGTTTCGACGTAATTGACGGCGCCTAGTCTCCGCGCCAACTGATGACCCTGGATAGTGGTGATTGGCGCCTGACCGTATCTCGCCAGTTGCAGCATCAAACGCACATCCGATCTTAGATCGCTTTTCGTTCCTACCTGGAGAATTATAATGACAATAATTACATTATTGTTAGATTTACAATATTTTATTAATAAATATAATATTATTAACCGAGATTTTATACAATCTATTTGTAGGTCATACCAAAATAATTGGAGCATTGGGGCAGTATTTTCGCACTTCATTGATCCATCTAGAAGCCACGCTGTGATAAGAGGAAGGACATACAACGCTGAAGCAAACTAGGAACACATCTGTCTCGGGATAGCACAATGATCTCAACGGATCAAAGTCGTCCTGGCCCGCTGTATCACATAGCTGGACATTCAGCGGTTGGCCATCAACATTTACAACCACTGGATAGATATTATTACAAAGATGTTAGTATATTGTGACGGATTAATTTAATATATTTTTATTTATTTGTGCTCGAGGGCTAAATAAAAACAAAAAGAAGAATTTACTATGATAGAGGAAAGCAAATGTAAATACTTTACTGAATTTATAATCAAGCATATTATTCTGGTCATTTTTAAAAATTACACTTTATAAAACAAACCGAATATGTATTGCTCCACAGATACCCGCAGTATGTATCCTCGATTTATAATCTTGAGCCATATTGTTAGCGAACACACGCATCCCAGAACTATACGAACCATTATAATTGTCAAACGCAGTTGGCACGTATTCCCCGGGGAAGCCGTTGGTGGAGTACGAAACTACCAGGCTGGTCTTGCCGACCGCGCCGTCGCCCACCAAGACCACTTTGATCCTTTTGTCGAGTGGTGTCGCAGGATGCTCGGCCACGCTTTGATTTTGTGCTCCAGTACCCACAGCTGTCGACGACGACGTTGTCGTTGCTGTCGCCATCGTCACCATCATCGTCGTCATCGGCTGTTGCTGCTGTTGTTTAGCGACCTGCATCTGTATGGTCTGTCCGCTCTTGAGCAACGGCCTCGTCCAGTTGGTGTGCGAGGACGGCGGCATTGTCTCGTTCTTGATCTTACCGCAGCCCCGACCTTTCATGCGTCAGGTGAGGATACTCCGCGAATGCGACGGATCCCTCCTTGTAATTCTCCTCGACCTCCTCCTCGGCGCCGATGTGGACGACGTCGTTGCTTTACTTCAGGGTAATGCCGTTTCGGAGCAGCGTCGCGTCGTCGCGCGCGTCATATCTCCGCTCCGGGAACAAAATCGTCGGCCACTGGTTGATTCGATGTGATCTTTGGTAACGCAAGGTATACCGTCGGGATGCTGCTGTGGGGCCGGGACAGCGCAGATGGACAGACCGAGACAGACGGCGACGACGATGGAAAACAATGGGAACTGACGAGAGCGAACGCGAACCAATTGTGATCGCGCGGCGGACAAAAAAAAAACCAGTCCGACGATTCACCTGCCGCGACGCGGAGCCACCTGTTATCGCGCCCCCGCCTCCTGGTGTGCTCCTCCTCACCATCACCATCAGTGGCGGTCGGTGTCGCGTGCGGCGTGCACGCACCGCGGACACGCACGGTACGCACGCATGCATGCGACACGCACAGGCGACGAACGCATCGCGTTCTTTAACCCTTTCCGGCATGCGCGCGTCATATTATTATATATATTTAAATTAGAGATGTTTATCGTTAGTCGATATTATCGAATATTCGATATTTTTTTACATTGTTTTAAAAATATCGAATCTGAAGTATCATTTACATAAATTATTTGTATTGACATGTATAATCGAATTTTATATATATCAATACAAAGAATACAAAAATTACTTTCTTAGAAAGTGCATAAAGGGAAAAAATACTTTTTATGTATATAAAATATTATTTAATTTAGTAATGTTGGATATTATGTGAATTTAAATCAATTATGATTAATTGCAAATCTAAAAGTTTAATTTTGATTCAATCACGCATTGTTGTCGTATCATATTTAAATTTTAGCATGGTTTATGGTAGTTTTTAGAATACTCTGATAACGAATATATGTTAAATGTAATCTATGTTAACGTAATTAGTATTGTGATATCGAAAATATTTGTTAAAAATATGAAGCTGAAATAATATACATTCTTGTAATTTGCGAATTACATTTGTAAAAAAATCAGATTTGAAAGATGCGCGCGCATTTGAATTGATTTGAATCTGGAACTGGTTTTACACGCGTGCAACATGCTTGTAATGAGAATGTTCATTTCACATAATTTGCAGGCTAGATAATAAAAATCAATCGCAGGATGATTACGAAAAATATGTGGAGACTGGGTCTTCTTGTCAGGTATGTTTCGCTGTCATTTATTATTCAATGATTCTGCTTTCACAATAATATAACCTTTTTACGTTTCTTTTAGAGGATGTCAATATTGTGCCACTTTGTTAAGAATAACATCACAACGTTCGACAAGTCTTGTCAGAAGTTGTACAACAAGTGTCAATATAAGATACGTTAAGAACACTCGTCGACGATGGCGAATGATTGTCCCTGGAATTGGATTATCGCTACTTGCAGCAACACAATGGGATTATTTACACAAACATGGATATTCCATCGACATACACGATAGGCCAGAATTATTAAACGATGTTATGGTAATCCCGTTATAATGAACGATAGATTTGTGGTAAATCTGTCGAGTTATTAAATGAAATATAAAATCTTATTGTTATAGGTTACATGTTACTGCTGCCTGCCATTGAGAACAACCAGTAGGATATGGGGTTGGTTGACAAGCATCGAGTTGCCAGTTGCTTTAAGACCAAAGCTCTATGGATTTTATGCGAACATGTTTCATGCTGATCTAGATGAGATAGAATCAGATTTGTCTGCATTTCCAAACCTAGTGGAATTTTTTGTAAGGGCTCTTAAGCACAATGCGAGACCAATTGCTGCGAATACAAACATGGTGATTATTTTATTACAAGCAGATAATTACATCTTATTTAAATCTGATATTAAAAATAATATTGATGGCTGGAAATTGCTTATAGATTTCACCCGCAGATGGTAAAGTCCTTTACTTTGGACCAGTAACTTCTTGCCGTGTGGAGCAAGTGAAAGGAGTAACGTATGACCTCAGACAGTTTTTAGGTGATTTAAACAATTCCACATCGAATAGAATCGCGGACGATTATGTTGATTCACTTTTGAAGAATCCAGATAATAGATTGTATCAATTAATCATTTACTTGGCGCCCGGTGATTATCATCGATTTCACAGTCCCACTGATTGGAATATAAAACTTCGACGGCATTTTCCAGGTATGTATTATCTTTTAAAATTGTAGCCTATAACATTCGCATCTTATTTTTCTAAACAACTCTTCTTTAGGAAAATTATTGAGCGTCAATCCGAAGCTGCTAAAGTTTATGCCAAATCTGTTCTCGCTGAACGAGCGCGTCGTATATATCGGGGAATGGACGGGCGGATTCATGGCCTATACAGCTATTGGTGCGACTAACGTGGGCTCCATAAGAGTTTATTGCGATAAAAATTTGGCGACCAATACAGTGCAATGGCCGGAAATTGCGCATCCGAAAGAGGCGAGCTTAGATTATATGCGTATAGATAAAGGCGAACTGTTTGGCGAATTTAGACTCGGGTCCACGATCGTGCTTCTATTCGAGGCACCGCGAGACTTTCGATTCTGCCTGCAAGTCGGCCAGACTATTAAAGTCGGTCAGGCGTTGAGCGCGCATATTAACGAGCCCGAGGAAAGACAAATCGAACGACGACACTTAATTATGGATGTCGCCCAGGATTGGAGACATTTATGGAAGCCTAAAATTTAAAGAGCGAATGATAAAGTAGAAGCCGATTTTAATTCTACAGAGAAATTAGATACGTACCTGCGCGTCGTACGCTCGCAATTTTTTGCGCGAAGCCGTAGGCGGTTGTAGGCGGAAAGAGAAGAATAGCTTAATGAAAGATCTAGAAATTCGGAGTCTCTCGGAGTAAGTATCGATCTTGTAATTACTTTTGTACATAGCCACGTTCGTGCGCGGAAAATAATTATATCTCACACGATTTATCTAAAATTACATGTAAATTATATCTTACGCGAGAGTACATTCGTTCGTTACTTTAATTACGCAAACATCACGCGAAAGATGTGATTTTTAATAGGTTTGACACAATTATTTGTACTTATTGCATATACATGTCTCATAGAGCCTGTATAGATACACGTTAATTACGTAACGCGTTGTAATTATAATAATTATAATTGAAAACTGTACGAAACTACTCTCGTCGCGTGAAAATATATTTCTCTCTCCTCTTTGTGCGTCATTACTAATAGAGGTCGGATAGTAAATTGTTTTACTTGCATGCCAAATCGATCTTCGTTCACAGTTAAGTCGACCGGGTCAAGGCCATTAGATGAAATACTTGCCTCAATTAAAGCTCTAGCTCCTTTTTTTAAACTAAAAAGTAACAAACACACATCGTAAGTCTATGAGCGCACGAAACGTCGATCTGGCTAACCCATGCGAGAGCATTTTTACCGATTCTCTTTACCGTTAATATTAATATGTTATTTCTAAAAAATTTATATATTTATATAAATAGATCAAAATATCGTTTGTGCTTGCACGGTAAGTGCTCGTGCAACATAACTCTGCACTCTATAAACTAGAATAAATCAAAATATGATTGTTTAATCATAGAGAGAGAAGCAGATATATTTTATGGTGTAAACAAATGTATAGAATAATAACAAAATTTATTTCAGTACTATATTTTCTTAAATAATAATGAATGTATATCCAGACAAATTTATTTCAAATAGCATCCCACATCCTGCTATTTTATTATTTTATTCTATTATGGTAATTTGGATCTATGATTATGGAAATTTTTCTTATTTACCAATTACTTACAAATATTCTAATATCCATGCCATTATTCTGATTAATCCTAGTAATAATCCTTGTTTAGAAAGCTGCAATTCTTGTCCTCCCTGCCCATGTATTATGTATGCATTATACATCACATAAATAATAGCAATTAGGAAAGCATGACTTTGATGTATACAGTGTCCATACATAGCGTAGTTGTCAAGTAAACGTAATCGATGGCCACGAATATTAGAAGGCAAGTTGAACTGTTCATTTATATACCTTCTATCGACATATTGATATTCTAATTTAGACAAAAATAATTGCATATTGATGAGTCAAGCATTATCCAAGAATTTTAGAGCACGCTAATTTAAATTTATTTTTATCGCAAATTTCTTTTAGATTTATTTTTCTTGCAAATTTTAGATTGTTATAATTTAAGTCTACCTTCTCTTGCTTATAAATGCTAATATTAACATCCCATGCACGTAGAATACCTTCGTATCCTCAAACCTCCGTCCATCGCTGCGGGGAGCTTAATGCTGGTCGATCTTTTGGGGAAGATCTGCGTCAGTTGTCAATGCGAGAAGAAGGAGGAAAGCCGCCGAGTCTTGGGTCGCAAACGTCAAACCGTTGCTCGCTAGATCAGTGAGCGTCGCGACGCCCGCGGCGCAGGTTGCACCGTCTCCTCTTCTTGCAGCTAAGCCGATAGTACGTACCGATGCGTCAGACATGCAGACATGATACCGCGTGTTGTTTGATGCGTACGCGAGCCACTTAGCATCTTCCTTTCTTTTTTCTTTCTTTATCTGTCTGTGGGACACCCGCAGACTTTGCACAACACCGGGCGATTATTATGGGGCATTTGAGCGGCGGTTAAATGGGGGCCGATGGACATTTTCGTGTGACCTTGTCCCTGAGGAGGGAACCGGGCGCTGGTCCGGTCTACTGTAAGATGGAGACATCCGCCAGATTCCGGCAACTGAAGACGGTGAAGCTAAGCTGCGAGGCGACCTACCGACTCGACATCAGCTTCAAGCCGCCGCAACTACTGCAGTGGGTACAGTGAATATGCAATTAATAATATATATGCACATTCATGCATAAATTGAGTGATCTCAATCGAGAGACGTTTTTTTAGAGGGATGGTAAGAGGCTCTCGCGTAATTTCGATGGCGAATGATTAGATGAATTGGATTATTGGATTATTGGATTATTACGGTTTCAATTAAAAAAATAGATGTATGTAAAGATTTACTGAGTTTATCAAACCTGGATATTGTATATTTGATGATATAATTTTTGTTATATTTTTTGATAGATTAGTTTAATCGTTTCTTATTATAATTAAAATCTAACTAACTGTATTAATAAAATCTCAATATATCATACATGAAATATATTGATGTTTTATTACTATGGTTAAATATTTATTATAATAAAAAGTGATTTCAGCTAATCAATCTAAACAAGTGGCACGAACCCGAATATAATTTTATTATAACGTGAAATTATATTCGACTTTATTAGGGATATATTGAATAACCATAGGAAATATTATATAACTACCCTCTAAAGGGGGCTATAAACTTGTGCGAAAAAGTTGCATTTGACTAATAGCAGTTTATCAGAAATTTATACGATCATCTTGAGCGCGAAGACGACGCAAGAGCTGGCGATAAATTTCAACACGTTCTATGCTCTAGGGACGAGGACTACGACTTCTTACTACATACACACACACATACACACACACACACACATATATATATTCGGATATAGAATCACTAATAATGCCAACTTAGCCATAATACCGAAGATAAATACGATTACCGAACGCGCGTGTAAATGCACATTTATTCTTTCACGAGTTCTTAACGGACAAAAAAATTGCCATTCTACGCAATTTTAAAAGTAATTTACCCTATTATGAGTAAACCCCTAAACACGTCAACACTTTATCAATATTAGTGGATTTTGTTTTCTTTTTCTTCCAGGCATAGAAATAAAATCTTTACAGAGATCTTCAGATATGTTTTTTTATTATTAGTTTCGAAACTAATTGTAAATATAATTTAATTACATTTTTCTTGCCATTCAATTTCTATAAAAATTAATTTTTTAAAAATTGAAACGCATTAGATTGTTAGAAAAAAGTCCGCAATAAATAATTTGGACTTCATCCAATAAACTTTTATAATAAACCTTTTAAAAAAAATTGATCCAGAAAATTATATATATAAGAACCTCAATTAAAAGTCCATTTGAAACAATTATGCTATCGCGAATGAAATAATTTCTTGCTTGAAATAATTTCTAAGCAAGCAAATATATATCCAGATATTTATCGAGATTGATGAGATCTGATTTTTGTGAGAGGTGAGATTAATGCAGATTTATTAATTTTACACACACAAATATTCTGTATGTTTGTTCTAGTTTATATGTATATAACATTATATTGTAATGTAAAAGTTTCCTCGAAATCGAAACTTACGAAATACATGTAACAAACCGGGTTACGCTTGAATTGCGCAAAGCATGCCGGGGGCTTAAAAGGTCGAACTCGAAACTGGAGGAAAGTTGGAGCCCGCAGTTAAAATCGAATAAACGACAACAGAGTCGGCGAACCAGATACAAGCGAATTGATTCACACACAACTAACAAGTATCGACCTTTATCGAGAAGAGTCGCCTTTACAATAGGACGAAACTCCGTTACGTGATTATTTCAGCGTGAGGTAATAAATTTCCGCATGTAATTTCTAATAAATACAATCCTCGAATCGGTAACGACACATTAGGGGGCTACCAGCTTTAATTGCGTGCGAATGCACCAGCTGTAACGACCCCTTGAGGGGGCGCGAGAAAAGTACACTAGTATTATTGCCTTGAACTGCAAAACTTATTTCAGCCTCAGAGAATCGATCGAGTGATTCTACACGGTGCTCGCGCTGCTTATAACTGGCTCTGGTACACTTGCCCCGACTAATGATCTACTCGCCGGGATCGTCTTATCGCGGAAGCGCCGAAACAACATGATGGATGCGTCTTTTGTACGCTGCTGCAATCGTGCAAACCTCCGCGTAATAGATACGTGTCACGGAATTGAATTCAACCGAGTTTGAGTTTTATTACCGTATTATTTATTGCGATATATATATCCCCGCGTTAATAAGAGAAGCGTCCGATAAATATCGTGTAATTACGGCATCAAATAGTAATTACATGCGGAGAATATGCGATCGCTTGTACGCGAAATGATCCGAAAAATGTCAAGGTCTACCGAGAAAACTAACGCCAAAAAAAAAACGATGACTTAATTAAAACTTAATTTTAATTAAAACGAAATATCGTTTATATTTGTAATCCATTTGTGATTTTCGACACAAGAGACTCGGGACGCGAAATTCGAGACAATAATGACAAATAAGAAACTTGAGATTGAGTATACGTTAAAAGGGAGATGGAAACTATTGAGTAGAATTTTCGGGATAAAATTGTAAGAGATTTTATCATGATAATCGAGCTTAGGTCTTTCCTTCTCTTTTTCAACTGTCATCTCAACATTTCACAATGATTTATAACAGACAGACGCGATTACGCGACTTACACGCGTTGAACACGAAATCGAATATGGAGATGAAGATGAATGCGCGGCGCGCATAAATATTTCAGTTATTCCGAAATGCAATCACCGCAATACGATGCCGGAAGTGTCCGCGTGATCTTTGAAAAGTCACGAAGGTTTGCGTGCTGGTGCGGCAGAAATAGAGCAGTTTCCCTGGTTTTTTTTTTTTTTTTTTTTTTTTTTTGACAATAGAAAATCCCGTCGATGGAAAATCGGATTTTCCTTCCCGACGCTATCGCCGAATCTCGTGGAATTTTAAGCAGCTGCCCGCCTCCGCATTATTAGTCCGAATCACGCGATGCATCCTCACTGTACGGCCCGCTTTTCGATTCTAGTCGATGATAACAGCACGATAATTGTAACTATACGTCCCTTGACGCAAATAATCGAAAATAGATTATTAACGGTTGATTTATTCCACACGTTATTATTTGATTACGTATTCTATTAATTATTCTTCTACCTGCCGAATAATTAATAGAACGTACTCATATCCATCCCCACTATGCGCTACTTCTTCTTTAATGCAACGATTAAACTTTCGCAGTAAGCGCCGGAAAGTTCGCCGTCCTCATTTATTCGCTATAATATTCCTCCACGGACGGAAGTAAGGCAAGAGGACGTGAAATGTGAACAGACCGACGAGCTTATGATGTTACGAGTCGAGTGTTGCATTTTTTACGAACGATAATGCTACGTCGACCGTGCGCGCTTTTGTCGTGCCCGCGACTGCAAATCCGTCCCGGTTTCGTTCCGGCTCATTTCTTATTTTAGGTGCGCAGCACCTGCACATGCATCTTTAATGTCTAAGCCTGGCAATGTATCCTATAAAACGTGTGTCTGCTTAAACCCCGTTTAGACTCTCGAAATATTACATTTTCAGTGGAATTTTTCTGTAGGATAAAATTGTCCTCGTGGAAACAATAAATTTTTTTTTTTAAACGGTATTTATATACTTATATCTTGATATCTTTTTTTTACTAATTATATAATTTTATTATATAATTATAGTAATCGTAATAAGCTGTGGAGGTGTGCGATTTTCAAGGGAATTGCCTCCACAAAAACTAAAACATACAGATTCCTTCTCATTGCTTTTCTTATCATTAGATATATCTCACGTTCTCTTTTATATGCGTATAGGACTCTAACAGAACTTGTCTGCGTGTAGATAATGTGTTGATTCCTGCCACACGACAGTTATTTATCTCTAAAAACGATAAACAGATACACGCGACTGATACGACCACAGACACGCAGATCATTTGCACGCACTCGTCGTTGCATTCTTGTAAGCTCTAAAAATAAAATCAATCAAAACTTGAGTCAAAGAGTACGCCTCGTTTCCATATGAGAAACTAGACCGGCACGTTCTAAAGATATATGGACCTGTCGAGCTAAGGATCAAAGCATTCGAGAATACACAACTCGACAAGGTCTACTGACGTAAGATCCAAAAGTGCCATACCCAGGCAGGATTCAAGGATATAGAAGTGCGCAAAAACTGATGCAATCGATGTATGATTATTTTACATTGAAAATCATATGAAATCGTCCTGGTCGGAAAAATGTCAGACTTTTAGTTAATTAAAACGACTCTAGTTTGCGTCGAGAAATTAAAAAATACAACAAATAGTAATTTCAAGTATTCTTTGCGTGCAAATGATCTGCGTGCCTTTGGTCGTATCAATTAGCATGTTATATTATATTTATTGTCATTCTATAAATTATAAACTTGCGCGTTTTTCTGCGAAGCCCGGCTACTTTGAGTTATCACAATTAATTAAGAGCTAACGGTATTTATATACTTATATCTTGATATCTTTTTTTTACTAATTATATAATTTTATTATATAATTATAGTAATCGTAATAAGCTGTGGAGGTGTGCGATTTTCAAGGGAATTGCCTCCACAAAAACTAAAACATACAGATTCCTTCTCATTGCTTTTCTTATCATTAGATATATCTCACGTTCTCTTTTATATGCGTATAGGACTCTAACAGAACTTGTCTGCGTGTAGATAATGTGTTGATTCCTGCCACACGACAGTTATTTATCTCTAAAAACGATAAACAGATACACGCGACTGATACGACCACAGACACGCAGATCATTTGCACGCACTCGTCGTTGCATTCTTGTAAGCTCTAAAAATAAAATCAATCAAAACTTGAGTCAAAGAGTACGCCTCGTTTCCATATGAGAAACTAGACCGGCACGTTCTAAAGATATATGGACCTGTCGAGCTAAGGATCAAAGCATTCGAGAATACACAACTCGACAAGGTCTACTGACGTAAGATCCAAAAGTGCCATACCCAGGCAGGATTCAAGGATATAGAAGTGCGCAAAAACTGATGCAATCGATGTATGATTATTTTACATTGAAAATCATATGAAATCGTCCTGGTCGGAAAAATGTCAGACTTTTAGTTAATTAAAACGACTCTAGTTTGCGTCGAGAAATTAAAAAATACAACAAATAGTAATTTCAAGTATTCTTTGCGTGCAAATGATCTGCGTGCCTTTGGTCGTATCAATTAGCATGTTATATTATATTTATTGTCATTCTATAAATTATAAACTTGCGCGTTTTTCTGCGAAGCCCGGCTACTTTGAGTTATCACAATTAATTAAGAGCACTTGAAATTTTAGGGCAAACTTTTATTTAGACTAAATGACAAATTCCTATTTGAACATCTTTGTTTTGATTTGATATCACAATTCTATTATCTTTGTAGATCGTTATTTTTAAGCGCTACAAACACAACACACTTTTATAATGAGTTGACTTATAGAACATGACTGATATACATAATAATCGTCAATTACGTTTATCTTGACGTTACGCCAGGCATGGGAAAAATATTACACCAAAGTATATACACATGTGGCAACATGTTTTGCAACATGGATTGTGTGCCATGCAAAAGATCTACTTTCGCTTCTAAAAAAAGAAGAAGTTTTACTATGTCGTGAAACCCGTCTCAACTCATTTCAATCATCACTACAATCGTATCCGTTCGAACTTCTGCCAGCTTTCTCACTTTTCGCAGATAATATATGCCAAATAAACAAATAAAATATTCTTTTAAACATAAATAAGCAGCCTTGTCCAAAAAAATGGGTCACATAAAATGCTAGCGTGAGAATATACAATAAGAAAACTTTTCTTGACGTTATAAAGACATGCACACATCTAGCGTGCGCTTTAAAAGAAATGTAGGAAACTCAATCGATTTTCTTTGTCTTCCTATTTCTTAACTTTATATATAATTATTTTAAGCTATAGTTCTTTAATAAAATATTACATTGAGAAACAAAAGGATATATATATAATTCACAAACTTTTACACAAATATGTTTAAAAACTCGATTTTATTTTAATACAATTTTAATTTAATTTATATAAGGATTATTTTATAGAATTCTCAAATTTAATGCAATTTTCTCTTTCTCTCTATAAAGCATATATATACTTATGAAATTGGAAATAATTCAAAAATAATATGTGAATATAATTATGAAGTCAATTCGTGTATAAGTTTTAAAGACGTATTTTTTTTATATAAAGTAGAAACTATATTTTTTCTAACAGATTTTCTGTTCCAGATCCCTGAGTATCGGTGGGAAACCGGTGGAGGCGATCGAACGCGCAAGGGACAGCACGGCATGTGCCTACAGCGCTTATCACAGCACCAAGGATATCTCGGCAAGCACGCGCGGCCACCGGGAGGACCTGCCGATCGCTATGCGAGTACTCGGCTCCGGCTACCTGACCACATGCCTGCAGATCAAGTACTATCGGCTGGATGATCAGAGCCACTGCGAATGGGGCGCCAGATTGCACTGTATCGAGCTCGATTGCTCCAGCGTTGAAGGACATCTCGTTACGGTGGACCGGGAAACCTACAGAAAGCTCGGCATAGAGTCTTAACGAACGACGGATGTCGTCATCCTTACGATATGTTTGTTATATAGGCGATGAGAAAACCCGACGCCGCGCCGCAATCGATGTTTGCTGAAGTTGACACGTAATCTGAATAATACTCTACATTCGTAAACACTCCGAGGACTGAGGACTCTGAATAAAAATAAAGATAGATAAAATCGACTGAGTACTGGTGACGAGACTATCTAACATATTTTCCATCTGTATAAGTTTTAATAAACTAATTCTCGGTTAATTGTGTACGAAACAGGAGTCTGAAAGTTTTGCCCAGGATTTTGACACGTTAAAAATAGAACTTTTGGGATAAACGAAATCTATTAATGAAGATGGCAGATTATGCTTGATAAGCTTCGTTGAAATAGTATATTTTTAATTCAGTAGAATAAAGATAAATCGCGTAGAAATTTCGCGGAAATGTTATCATGATAGACGGATAATTGAGATTGATCGTTGCCAGTTGGCAAACAACATTGTATCGCTACGATGTGGATTGAGTTATACAGAAAATCTAAAACTGATTTTGCGCGCTGCTCTCTCTCTAAAATATATTATTAAAAATTTTAAATCAAGCAAATTAATCCTTTTTCTTCTTTAGGAATTAGTAACGGTATAAAAATTAAGGTTTTTGTTTCCTCTTTTATACAAATATTTCAAGACCTCGTATGTCTGTGCATTAATTGCATTGCAATCAATATGTGGTATATAACTGCATTATTATATATAATTTTATATCGAATAAATCATTAAGAATTTAAAGTCATGTTGGAAGAAATAATTAATCACGTAATTACGTAATTACGCGTTTTTGATCGATATTTAAGCTCTTTAGCGAGAGGTCTTTGTCGCAAGAATTAATGAAAACAAAAGCTAATGCAAGCATATCGATAACTTGGATACTTAAGTATCGATATATATATACATACTACGTATCGAACGTGCGTCATCGATTGTGGATTAATATCTAATTGAATCAATCGCAATACGCCGTGGTACGTGCATAGAACGACATGTTTTCCAATCGAAAGAAAAAAAGAATTAGCGGCGCGGTGTCAGCTTTTGTAACTGTACGATTAATTGAATCAATCGCAATACGCCGTGGTACGTGCATAGAACATGTTTTCCAATCGAAAGAAAAAAAGAATTAGCGGCGCGGTGTCAGCTTTTGTAACTGTACGACAAAATGCATTTTGCGCATTGTTAACGCTATAACGTTCGCTTGAGCGTTATTTTTCTCATATATGAATTAATTTTAGCCTCTTTTTTTCATATTCTCGCACACAAAAAATTGAGGATTTTTATATCGAGAAATCTATCTCGTTAATGCGAGATTCGATGGATTTAGAACACGCGATAAACATAGGACACATACTGTCCGTGAATTAATTTTAGAAGTATTCTCAGATGCATTGCTATAGGAACTCGACGCACCTTAATACTCGAAAACTTTCGGCAATCAGCAAAGTGACCAATTAACGTCTCTAGACTTACTGTAATTATGCAGGTTATTTCTATTCTCTTTTTTTCACTACTTGTTCAATGTATTTTATTAAAATTGTGTAAATCTACTTACTGTATTTACACGCAATATATGTATATATATACAACCGATGAGATATCTGTACTTTCTAATTTCCATTGAAATAAATTCTATAAAAAAATATAAATCACATGTTACACATGAATTTAATTACGAAGTATCCAATTATGATTATTTAGAAATCCTAATGAATAAATTACATTTAGTAAAAAAAACTCATAAAATCATAATAATTATATAAAAAAAACTAACGGCATATAAATATTTTTAACAGGACAATTATTTTGATAAATAATTCACGTTTTTTTCATCATTTTCATCGAAAATAACTGATTGAGAGTCTTACCTAAAGTCTTACATAAAGAAAATGATAACTGGTGAACTATGAAAGACGATATTGAGATCTTCATTTAAATATCAAAGATTTAACAAGATATTCACACATATATAATACACATATAAGTCACATCGTTCTTGCATTCATCTTATATTATCATAACTGCGATGGTTCGTAATGCAGCAATCTATCCGCGATATCTCTGTTCCTCAACTTCTCCATCTGTGTTCGCATTCGCATCGCCAGTTTGTTCTTGCGCCTTAGATACATCGCCGAGTGATGTAGCGCGATCGTGAATGGAACCGGACACCAGGTCTCTCTGATCGCTCCGCGAACCAGCGCTGTGATATAACTATCTATGAGCGACACGTCCTCCTCCTCCGGATAGAGATAATCCTTTAGGGACAACAGCAATTTTTCCGGCGGCAATCTCAGGTATCGCAACGCGGCCGCATGTTCCGACCACAATAGTTTCCGATAGTGCGCATCATGTCGTTGCGCCACTGGCACCAGCAGCGTCGCAGCGAAGTTGTCATCGCCATATGAATTCGAGCAAAATTGCTCGCACAACGCCGTAAACAGATCGGTGAAGGAGCTCAGTCCCGGCAGCTCCGCCTGGAAGTCCAATTGTGCATGGCATTTCGTCAACAGATTCGACAAGATCTTCGTCAGCAATACAGACACGTCTTTGTCCAGATATACCGTGTCGCAGAGATATACTAGTATCAGTCTACTGAATCGCAAAGTGGGTGACAGCTTTCTCGTGAGATCGGGTAAGATTAACGCCAAGCTCAGCACCGTCAAAACGCTGTCTTTATCCTCCGGCTGAAACCTAATATCGCTTTTACATTTGTTGTATATGTGAACAAGCGGTAAAAAGAGCCAATCTTTTGGCATCGCTGCCTGATTCCAGTCGCCGTTTGGAACGATGTATCTCTCGTATAGCGACGCTGCATCGAAGCGTAAATTTATCTTAACTTGATCTGCCGTGGCCGATGCAGTCAAATCTAATTTGGTCAATTCATTGATGATTATTTCCAAATTCATTTTTTCGTTGGACAGCGCGATCTTGAGGAGCTCCCTCACGTGATCTGTCGTGTCCGCGGGCAAAGTCGACACAAGTTTGATGGCAATTTTCCATATAATTTGCGCTGTCTGATTATTGATTGTATTCCCCAGGAGTGACGCCGCTTTTACCACCGTTGTCAAGAGATATAATTCCGTTCGGCTGTACCATGATCTTTCGAAACTCCAATTGAACTTCTCCAAGTCCCGTATGTATTTGGAAAAATTCGGGTGTCCGAGTATTGCGCGAATTTCCGCTATGCGAGAGTGGTTGTAAAACGTTTTCAACATTGATGCGAAGAACGGTATGCACGAATTTACCGACACAATCGGCTGCGGCTCTCCATTTTCCGTGTAAACGTCCAAGCTTGGTAGACAAGACGGTTCTCGATCCGTTGCCGGGTTGCAGTTACTCAATAAATTCGAACTAGAACTGTAAAAGATAGATACGTTAAATGTTGTTCTTCTTTTCTGTATAAATAAAACAATATTTTTCTTTCGATATACGAAAGAAGAAATAAACTTACCGAAGTCTCGAGAAAACGTGTTCGTTGAATATACACGTTGTTTCGAATGCGGATGTGTCATCAACGGCGCATAAAGTCTCCGCCATCAATTTCATAACACCCCACTGAAATTTACAACACTTTTACTTTTTTGCTCATTAGATTATTTCGCAGTTCATAGTATCGTAATAGTATTAAGATAATAACAGTATTGAAAAGTATTAAAAGGAAACACATAGAAGATAAAATATATTATTGAAAACATTTTATGTTTAGGAGATTAATTATTTTTTAAATTAATAAATAAATTAATAATTATGCTTACTGTTGCATTGGATACTGATGAGAATTGAGTATTCCATTTCTTTAACAGTGTAGATATGTTCGATCGCAAACTTCTTTCATGACTCGCTACAGCAATTAACGCCGCAGCGCGTTCGTAGGCCAATTCGTTTTTGGACGTGTTTTGAATATCGTGATTACACAACAATAGCTGTAATTGTGATATGAGAGCACCCGCGACACTTTCCAGTCCTATTTCGTAGTGTAACAATATGCGCCAGAGTCGCAGGCTCTCGATGCTGAGATGTAAGTCATCTTTCCTAATGAAGTACATTAAATTTTTAATAAAACAAAATAATAAACGCGCGCATTATATATATAAAAATATACATAAATAATCTTACCCCGTCTCGTTATTAACATATGTTAAGATGGTGTGGATAACTTTGAAGTTATTCAATTTCTGCGCGACGGGCTTTTTACCATATGTAACAAGAACGCGACACAGTTTAATTGCCTTAACTAAGGGGATTCCGTAAACGTTATTTATTGCCTCCTGCATTGCTATAAGAAACAAAATCTAAGTTTTCAAATTATTTCAAAATTATTTATTCGGAAACAAAATTTTGAATCAAATTTATTTGAAAATGATAAACTGTCTACATTAAGTATTGAAAAGAATTTAAGTCACCATACCTAATTTGTCTATAGACAATGGCATAAAATTTTTGATGATAGTATCTAACAAGTACGGCGTGGATGAGATATTTAGCGCCGTCGTGTGCGAGTATCTCGCAAGGCGAATAAGTATCTCTAAAGCACATGTTACTCCGACAGGTGGTGGATGCATCTCATTTAGAATGTATCTACAAACAGATTACATTCCTAAATTATCTTCCCCATTTTAAGTGCTTAAAAAAAAAATCATAAAACCACTAGATTTATAATGTTTCCAGCATTTAAATAAAAAAGTATTATCAAGTACATATAAATTAAAAACAATAACAAAGTACCTAATCCGCAACAGGAAATCGGATCTCAATAATGCAGCCACCGCATCCAACTGCGCCAACTCGTGATCCTTTAGGCTACTCGTGTCCTTTTCCTCGAGTTGGGGCATCAAGCTTGGTTCCGCGTATCCGTCGAATCCGTGTAGTCTATCCAGACATATCTCGTCTGCCTCACTGACCAAGAAAGCTCTTAGCGCCTGCAAAGTCGCTGTGACTACAGCTACGGATGTGTCGTCCAACGAGAATCTCAACAGCAATAGAATATTCTTTTGACTTAATGCGGTCAATGGTGAAGGATGCAGAGCTTTGTCATATCTGCCCTCATGTGTCTTCTCCATGACATTAGCTAGGGTCGTAAGGGCTTTACACCGTTGTTGTTGAATAGAAGATCTGCTAAGCTGTAGCAACTCTTGAAGGGAATATCCAGGACGTTCAGGTTCTTCTCCATGATGGTGAAGTCCCTTGTCTGAGGTTAAGCTCTCATCTTTGTATGGCAATAAGAGGCCTTAAAGAGAAACAAATATGAGAAAAGGTATCGTATCAAAATGCTATAGCAGAATAGATATATATGTAGTATTAACCATTAAAATCAAATCTTGCATTGTATTCTTCATTTGTTGCAGGTTCGTCTTTTTCTTTCTCCATCAAATCTTCCATCCACTTCAACTTTTCTGGTTCAGGTGTATCCATGTGCAGCCATCCTTTCTGTTTGCTTGTTTCTAATATCTCTTTGGATGACTTCGGTATGCTGATTGTGTCATCCTCGTAGTCCATGTTTATATCATCCTCATTCAAAGGATGTTTTGTCTTTTTATCATTAGATACTTCTACATCCATTGCTGTTTCTTTTCCGATTAAAACACTTGATGTATTATTCCCCATTTTTGTATCATTATTATCATTTGAGGAAAGTTTCAGCTTCTTATCAATGAATACTTCTGTATCAATTATTGCTCTATCTGCAAGTGACATAGTTTCTTGCGTATCTTCTGCAATCAAACTTTTTCCGCATTTTTTCCTATTTTTAAAAAATTGTACTAATTTAGAATCTAGAGTGTCCTCAAGTATCTTCTTTTCTTTTAGTATTTCTGCTTCGCTCATTTTAGCTAGCTTAGCCAAGTTTTCTTGATGAATCTCAATAGCCAATTGATCCTTTGTTACAAAACTTGCTTCTTCCTTGTTATGATGTAAAGATTCATTCCTTTGAACTTTTGCTAAATCATCTCTCACAGATTTCAGTGTTGAAACATGTTGCCGAAATAAATTCTGCTTATTACTGGTATTCTACAAACAAAATAATATAGTTTATTGAAAAACAGCAAAAACAACATGCTTTAGACATATAACATACTTTTTTCGTAAGTTCGATATCGTCCAATTTAAAAACCGTAGGGAATCCAAGTTCATGTTCTACAGTAGAAACACAATTGCTGTTGAACTTGTATTTTTCATTAAACTTTCTCTCCACAATATTTCCAAGCATACTATTCGACGGTGTTATAGGTATATTCTGTACCATATCTTCCAGCTTCCTCTTCGATGTTTTCTGAATTTTATCCATGACAGCAGGGTTTATCAACTCACCACTGCCTTGTGAGCTTTCATTAGCCATTTTTGAAGGTTATTTTAACCTCTATCTTTTATTCTTTGCAACAATTTTAACTTTATATCATAGCAAAAAATCTGCAAAATAAACGTTAATTATTACAATTTTTTAAGAAGTTATATTATTGTGACATAACATCTGCGAAGATTATCGTTATTGCGTACAACGTACAACTTGTCTTATTTCGAGTGATGTAGTGATTCATTGCGCTTCAACAGCTTGATGGAAACCATTTTACGGTACGTTCGAAAACAGCACCCGAGCATCGTTCTATCTTTGTTCAACTTTTAGTAAATAACAAAGATAGAACGACGCTTGTGTGCACACGGGTGATATTTCCGAACGCAGCCTTAATGTTTTGAAATATCGCGCCATTTTTCAATTACAAAACAAAACGATAGATTCCGTTCGATGTAATAAAAGTTTCGCGGCGTCTGATCAATCAATTCGACGAAATCTTTATTAGATAAAATGTATTTAAATTCCTTTTGTCTGCTTTTGTCCTGATTAATCAGACGATTCAAAAATTTTCGTTACGTCAAATAAAACGCAGTTTACATCACTATTCGAAGGAAAGCAACCGGCAATTTTATTTAAAATGTTTGAATCGATTATTCGAGTGTGTTCAAGTATAAATAATATATTTAATTTAGTGAGAGAAAAGAAATATATTTCACGCTTATATATATATATATATAAAGAAAAAAGAAGAAAAGAGAGAATAGAGAAAAAATGGACTTGACTGATAAATTATTTTATTTATCTAGGCACGATACACTGGAACATGACGGTATGCAATTACGCATCAATCATCGCAGTCATATAAATGCGCTAAATATAAATGCACAAGCATGCAAAAATCTCGGTAGAATAATTAAAATAATTTCATTCAAATTATTGGGCAATGACTATCGTGCCGCGTTCTTAGAGCCTAATATAATCTTCGCGTTATACACAAAATAAATACAGTTTGACACACCTCTTTCTCATCTTTTTGCTTCTTAAATTAAATATACAATTTTTTTTACAGAAATTAAATTTACATAGGTTATACACAAATTAAAAGTTGTACAAATGAAGAGAAACGATTTTGTCACTTGTTCTCGAAAGTATCTCAGCATAAGTTCAGAAAATAGATTCAAGCAACAAGCTACCATGCCATAAATAGTCTCACAACTATTTTCACGTATTTTCCTTTGAAAATGTTAAATCAATCCTTTGTCCACTCCCTTTTATTTGGAAAAATACACAATTTCGCCTATATACATATATTATATATCGGAATAGGTGATTGTATATGTTTTCGTTTTTCTTATAAGTATATGTACATCATATATGTTTATATAACGCTGTAATTTTTTAAATATATATAGTTGCGATAGAGAGAAATAGAAATTTTATAATTGGAAGAAGAGTCGAAGTGTTTTTCCTTCTCTGTAAAGTATCTTCATAATAATTTTGTTGCATCTAGAGAGAGATGTAATATAAATTCTGAACTATATAAGATCATAGGATACTGAACAGTGAAATATTGTTTCCATAGAATTACATGATGGTTTATCTTCTAGCAACAAAATATTATAAAAGCTCTGCTATCTGTTTCTCTGCAAAGCAACGCATATTCGAATCTTTAAACATTTGAAATATTATTACAAAATTAAACTTGAAACACATCCTTAAATACGCATTAAACAATAATACAATGCGACGATTGTTTTTTTTTTTTTTACTCCGGCAAACTCGTACGCTTCGTAAGTGGTTTACAAATACATAACAACATATTTTCCCGAATGAAAGTAGTCGCATGATGAGACAGTTTTTATTTACACAGTCACATATATTTACACTAATTACAAGTATATCTCACATCATCCATATAGTAATTTGTTTAGAAAAACCAATATCTGCGTGGAGACTTCTATCATAATTCATTCGCAGTCTCGTATTTGTTGCATGTGAAAATGCTCAGTCACGAAAGACAAACTCAGTGGTATGACATTGGTGTTACATTACTTATAGTTGACAAAGAAAAAAAAAACTATTCTGCACATAACACAGCAGTTTCTTTTTTTTTGTCAAATTATATCGTATTAATTATAAGATAGAGCAAAGGGAAAGAAACGACGAGAGAAAACGCGTTCCGTTCGCGAAAATTGCTCTTTCTCTCTTTTTCATTACAACATTTTAGGGAATAGATATAAAAATCTTGCTACAATTATATATAAACCGATCTCTATGGTTTGTATCAATTGTATAATTGAGTCAACTTTTCTTTAGCTTGTCTCCTTATGATCACTCACATATCTTCCTGTAAATGTACACGCACATTTTTGGCACACGCACAAGCACCCACGCACACACGCGAGGAGACAAAGACAATATACATATAAGGCACAGAATACACATTATATCTTATGCATACACACATATACGAGCAATTGCACAGTTCTGATAAATTAAGAAAGAAGGCGAGGAGGTAAAAGGAACTTATATGATGTAAGTTGAGCTCCATGTAGAAAACATTATCAGCGACGTGTCAACTGAACGTGTCTTTTAATATATATAAGTGATTATCCTGAGGATATTAATCTTTAATATCTTCCGACTTTGTACAGAAGTAATGTGATATGAACAAAATGACACATTACATTAATAAACTTTTGATATTGTTATGTGTATTTACATATATATAAATTGTATTTCTCAGAAGAATTTAATCAACATCCTCGACGATAATCATTATCTATTTATGTATGCGAGGATTCGTGATTTTAATCCTTGTTTCAAAGATGTCTTTACAGCGAACAAAGCACGATTACAGGAATATTAATTACTTTGTGCCCTAATATTATCACAAAAAATGAGTCAGCACATCTTGTTCCGATTAAAAATATTCTAATTAGCATTATTCTCAAGATATTACATACTGACTCATCTACTATTTCCGCGTTCAAGTCTTAATAATTACGAAAAATCATATATACATCTCGCTCTGTTTGTATTACTCAGAGTAACGATAGAAAAGTATATGGCTTACATTATGCATTTACTATATTATATGTACAGTAAACGGTTTTACTTGAAGAAACAGTATTTGTATCTGTATCATATGTTATGCTGGCATAATTTTTTGCACTAAAATGATAATAAATTGTTACATATAAATATATTATGCATGATATTATAATACTATAATAATTTGCCGAGTTATGATTGAGAGCACGAAAAATTATCGATCAAAGATTTAGAGAAGACAAACACAATTACAGCATAGCAGTATCATTAATTTTCTATGGCATCGCAAAATATACTTTTAATAATTCTCAATTAATCATCAATAATATTTATCAATCCTTGCAAAAGTTTCCGATATAACATTTTTAAGGATTATATCTTATCTTTTTTTAAATTAAACTATTTATTTATAAGCGAGGATTTATGTTATATGAGAAAATCACGGAATCTATCGTTCTTAAATACAATTATGTGTTACATTAAACAGGCGTTTGTGTGCAAGAGTAATACTGTAGATAGACAGTGTCTTTAGTAACAGTATATATGTAGTATATATATAATACTGTACTTAGAATATTTTTAAGATTAGAAAATACTACATTCCCGCGTGATCGATCGTCGGAAGTCATTGACTACACGATAATATTTTTGGTATATAAGATGAATTGTATGCATATATAAGATAAGACTTTCCTTGTTTTTCAGATTACACGCGACCGTTCCCTCTTATTACAAGTGCAACGATTGAGTTGCATTATTCGACTCGAACCAATCATTTGTAAATCCGATGTCGTTCCGTCGTCTTGTTCCTTCGGTTTGCTGTTATTTATCACAACCGAAACAAAGTACTCGAATAAATAAAGTTTGAAAATGTGACATTCTGCTAATGCAAAGTTATAAATAATTGATGACTCATCGGTCAGGTTACTCGCGGAGAAGGAGTCCTAGAAAATTTATATCAAATATTCCTCAGTCTTGGCGATTTTTTTTCCTTTATTCGTAAATAATTACGCGCGTACTAAGTTCATATTTCAATGCCTATAGACAGAAGGAGAATCGTGTAATATATTTTCCATGCCGGTGAATGTAATATACGATGCAAGTGTGTAATGTAATTATGATGAATAATTTAGATTGCAAATTTTTAATACGTTAAATTTATCTAGATGCGATTATACATTAAAATCACTTCAAGTCAAATCAGTACAAACTGATTCGGCATTTAAAAAATTCCAATTAAAACATAAATTAAGTGACGTATATGAAGTAAAGAAGAGGAAGAAAGTATATCTTTCATTTAAAATGTAAAACTCGTGTATAGACTCAAATTAAACGACTGTAAAGATATATTCATGTAATATCACAAAGAAAACGATCATAAATGTGGCTGGTAATAGCTAGAAAGTTTTCTTATAAGACCTTCGTCAAATTATCGAAAAGATATAATAAATTATATGACAGTACCAGCTGTATAATTTATTTAAAAACACTTATAAAAAACTAGTCAATTTTTTTATAATAAAAGATCAAAACAATCTAAATTTAAATAAATGTTCGTCAGAAAAATAATTCATCACAGACATAATTTTATACGATTATACATAATTTTAGATTGTTTCACCATTTAATATTCTACAAATAAATAGATGAAAATTTATTTCGCGAGCAATAATATTTGCATTATGTAAATAATTTATGTAATATTGGTGTAATATTTGCAACAGTATATCACATATACCGCAGTATTCCTTAATATATCTGAATTCTTGAATATGAAACATTGCGATTTTAATGATCGGTCACGAGTCACGAAGTCGCGTCGAAATTGACACTGTCGTTCGTAACTTTCACCGAAAGCGCAGTAATCTTGTAGACGTACTGATGTATACGAGGCACCATTTTATTATATACAACTGTACTTGCTAAGAGGAGAATATATTCGACCAGTGAAAAATACGTGGTACGATTTTTTTACATGCTAGATTCTTTTTTATGAAAGCTGGAGAATTACTGTCGAGAGAATTTAAGGGCGTCGTCATGTTAATGCCGACGCTTGCTGACGACGAAGATGATAACAATAATGGCGATGAGACACGTTTATCACGGAGACACGACGTGTCGTGCCCCGTTGTTGCTTTATAAACTCACCAAATACTTATGTAATAATTAGTTCGGCACCGTTGAGTTGGCATAATTCGGGGAAAAGGGGGATACCCTCTATCCTACGCAGCGAACGTTCCTCAGCGGGCCTAGCTTGCGAAAGGGCCGCACAGAACGCACGTGAACACGCTCCCGGAGTCCGTGAACGAGTCGCAATATCGGATCGTTGCCGAATCCGCCGCGCGACGAAGCTTGACGACGATACGGACGACAGAGAAGATCGCAAGTGGTTCCGTCGTATAGATGAGCACCTATAGAGCACGCGCCGTCGTGCTGACAACTCCACGGGCTACACGGCGCAGCCCTTTCTCGTGCCGTACAGTACCTTCAGCTCCGGCATGATAATCTTCTTGATAAGTGCGTTCGTCTTAGCGGTGAGCATGTCGCGATGCGTATCTTTCTTAAAGATCTTGATGCCGGGCCGGTGGACCAAGAAAGCGTTGTCGAGGATGAGAAAATCGTAATCAAGAACGCAGAGCGCGTATCCCTGTTTGCAAACGATAAATATCGATGTATCGCTATAATGTATGCAAAATCGAGAGAAAGAGAGTTTTATCTTATTCTATATGTAAAGTACATTTATTTTACTTTGTATTTTTAGATTATATTGCAAAAAACAATACTATATTAAAACTTAATTATTATTATAAATGATATTATATATAATTTTGAAGAAATTAATTATCTTTTCTTAGACATTCTCTGAATGAAGATCGGCTCCCAGTGAACGAAGCTACCAGTTCTCTTGCCGACGTGGAAGACGTGCAGATCCTCCGTCTCTGGTGCTTCCTGCCACTCCTTGCTCTTCGGCACGTTATGACAGCCGGAGCATAATTTCTTATGAAATGGTATGGCGGTGCCCGCTTTCAGCATCTGTATCTATAAATTTTCGCAGAAATTCTTGAAAAAAGCTTTACGTGAAAAACTTTTATAAACATTATACAAATGATTTATATTTCCATCTCCAAAATATTTTCCGCCATTTAAACATAAATAAGAACAAATCACTAGACACATTAGACTTGTACGTGATTAGCTTCGACTTTTGACGACTTTTGTATACACCAGCGGAAAAGAAAGAGAAAGAAATATAACAAGTATCATGCCAGCATACATCGAGATTACAATCACTCACTGTTTTACTGCTCTAATTCTGACTGCGTGCACAAAAGGTGCATTGTGCCATGCGATACACACAGTGGCCGGACAATAGCGACACTAATTCTACATATCAAGGTCCACGGTCAAAGGAAGCTCCATTGATTCGCCGCCGACCCTCGCCTACATTATTAACGCACAGTCGGATATACCCTCGTCCTGCTCTCTTTCGCACGTGCTTAATTGTCACCGAGGGACGACTGCCGATCACACAATAAATCGCATGCGAGCCATGTAAAAGACAAGACATACCAGATGCGTCTTGTTGTTGGGCGGCTGACTCTTCTCGTCCACCTCAAAAATCGACAGCACAAAGACCTTAGGATTGGGCTTGTGGAGGGCCGGCTGATCCCTCCTGCGAATCATTTCGAGAAACTTGGTGGGCAGATTCGGGCTGGGGTATAGCTCGATGTCGCTGGGAAATACGTAGAAGGTAGGCGCGGACTCACGCGCTATGTTGCGGCCCACGTTCACCGGATAAAGCAGCTTCTTCTCATTTTTGTACATTTTTGCGAGACTGACGTTCACCCATGGCGGCCCGAGCGAGCAGTTATATGTGTCGGAGACTATCTTCTCCGATGGTGGTACCTATAATAGGATTGCAGACGCTTTAGCCAAGTACAACGTGACTGATAAAACAAAAATTCATCAATAAGCTGTTAGAGAATGCAGATACGTAAAGATTTCAGTATCCCATATATTTTCTTTTTGAACATCTCCGTGTTTATATTCTTTTTCATTTTAATATTCATTCTTATTATTGTATCGTAAAACGCAATTAAATATTGCGTTTAAGAAGATTAAGAGGAAAAGCTAATGTATGCCTGTAAATGACAATTATTCATGCATGCGGAATTAGTGCACCGCAAGATAACGCGCGGTTTCCGATTGCAGTCCCAGTTAACAATCGTTAAAAGCCTGTTTAGTGTAAAATGTGAATCCCCGCGAACGAAACCGCACGTGGAGAAACCGCAAAACTATTTCATGATAGCTAGATACGCGTATCCGCTAGGCCTAGGATGTATTTGTTACGACGTAAATCAATCCGATGAGACTTACACGAACGCAACACGGACATATAAACTAAATACTCCTCGCGTGCCAGCGCGAACGAGCACGCATATGCATAAGGTAGAGATCTATGTACGCATTATATTCGAGAAACAAATTACCGGGGGAAGAATGCCTGTTATAACAAAACGTTTATCCGAATCTGTGATTAATTTGCCGTGTTATTTGGCAGACACATTGATGATCGTGCGATTCGTAAAATTTTATATGAAATGTAAATAATCGATGATTACAAGATTAAAGACAATTTTTCTGGATTTATTTGAAAAAAAAAAAAAAAGATCTGGATCGCGCGTATAATAAAAAATAAATATTGATTTAGTTTCTTGTAAATATAATTACAAAAATAATTTTTAACTTTATCCCATGCGCGCAAATGTTAATTGTTTCATTACGTAAATTCTTAGATGAGAATATTGACGACTAATATTGATTATACTAATATATTTACAAGATATCTGCAAGACGTCGTAGCTTTGCATAAAACACGGACAAGAATGAAGTGAGGAAGAACTCGACGAGGTTTCCGGGAACAAAGAAATTGCGGTTTCCTTATTCATCGTGCCGATTTAGGATATTCGCAAAATCTTGCAGATTCGCATGGTGTATCTAGAATTTGAGAAGGGTTCAGGAGATACACAGGAGATAAGGAACTTGAGGATGTCGAGAAAACCATCTAATCGTCCATTTACCATTTTCGGCACGTGCTTGCTGCTGAAGAAGACGTGGAAGGTCACCAGCTGCGAGACCAGCGGGCTACCGCAGTTTCTCGAATACCTGATAGCGTTGAGGGTCGCCGGAAAGTCGGTGCCGGGTGCGTGCATGGCGATCGATATCGGCGCCCGCCAGCGCTCCAGCAGCGGCTCCAGATTATCCAGGAACGTGTAGTCGGCGTGCGTGGTATATGTCACGCTCTCCCAGCATCTCACCGCCATGCTCATCGGCACGTAATTGTAAAGCACCCAGTAATCGCCGCGCTGCGCCCGCCTCGGCTCGGTCGACTTCTCATTGCAGTCTACGGCCTCCTTTAGGCTCATCGGTTCGCGCGCGATGTTCGACGTGCCGTTCTTCGCCTGAATATGAGAAAGCGTCTGAGTCAACGGTCGTTTGAAAGGGAAATTTGCATCGGCGACGGAAATACCGCGAATAGCGCGGCAACGAACGCCTCCAAACCTGGATTCATCTATCGCAATATTCTAAATAATGCATTTTAAAAGAGTCGCGATGAATTCGCTTCTTTTTACGAAAGAATTTTGATCATTGTTTATTTATTGATATAATTTTAATGTGGCGAAATAAAAGTTTGTAAGAATATATCGTCTTTTATGAAGCAAAATTGTTTGTAAGTAGTTTGTCTTAAATCTTATATCGGGGAATTAATTTAATTTTTTTATAAATTGGGGATGTTCGTAGAATTGTTGTCTATACTTTTCGTATTACATAAATTTACTGTACTTATAATTATTCTAATATATATATGATATATATTATCGAAATATTATTTTTTTTTCGTTCTTTTAGAGATGTCATCCACACACATAACAGTTAAATCTTTATTGAAATTTAGACTTTAATTCTTAGCACAATAAACAATAATTTTCTCATTTTTTGATCTTTTTAAATTAATTATGATACGCAGTTTCAATTTTTATTAATCTCTATTTTTATCATTATAGAAAAAAAAGCTCATTCCGATAAGTAGACAACCGTGACCAACGGCTAATCTAAACTACCGATCAGGAGTCACGGCTACAAGGATCAAAGAAACAAAGAGAAAGACGAAGAGCAGTGGAAGCAGGACGAGGTAATACCGTCTGATTACGCGGGTGCTCTCGCGACTTATCGAGAGTCTCGGCCTTGGCCCCGTTGTTGGGAGGCAGCGTTGTGGTGACAAGCCTGATCCTGAGTGGACGGCCGACGCCGTTGTTGTTGTTTGCCGACGTCGCATCTTTGACGGCGACCGCGGCCGACGACGAGGACGAGGATAACGACGTGGCGACGCCCTTCTGAGTGCCGTTGGTCGCGAGATCGTAAGTCTCCGGGGCCGCCGCCCAATTGGTCGGCGGTTCCTCGATCCACGGGCCGGACGAGCCGATGTGGGCGCACACGTACAACAGCACACACACGTTCAACACCACCGATAGGCGCAGCGCCCAGTTCCTGCGGGCGATGGCTATGATGCTCATCTCCTATGGGTCCGATAGCGGTGACGAGGGATGCGAGAGAAGGAGGGAATAATCGCGCGCTGGTTCTTCGTCGCTTCTCGAAGGAATCCTCCTCGCGATAAATTCTTCCGGACGACGGTGATGTTAATTCGTTCCTTTCTCTTGCGTTAGGTTGTTAATGCCGGATTCGGGATTCTCGCCGATGTCGACCCTTCGCGTCCATCCTTTCGCGGACCACGGCAATCAGGATTTGCTTTCTCTCATGATCTCCTGGAGGTCGACGATATCCGGTTCTATCGCACCTGGAACGAGAATGGAAGAGACCTTTGATTATAACAAGAGTATCATGTTACGCTATAAAATAATCAAATGTATGTATTATACTTATTATATAACTTTAAAATTCTTAAAACATATATAAATTAAAAAATAATCATTAAAATTTTGTGAAATTATAAATCTAAATCTTTAAATTCAATCATTAGGGCAAAAACTGCATTTACTATTGTCAAGTCTGTTTTTCTCCATCCTCAATTCATTCATTTTAACTCCTCGAAAGACACAGTCGGACATTTAAAGACATATCCCTTATTTAGAATTACAGATTACATAATATAAAATTCTCTCTCTTTAATTTATACGTAACATATTAATATATGAATGATGTAATATACGCAATAATTAACATACATATAGCATAATGCACTACATGAATAAATATCAGAATTTTTGTTAGTAAGGGAATAAATTAGCATAAATCTTTAAATATTAGCACTCGCTGTGAACGCACGTTACTCCGGTTTGTTTCATCTCGCTCCGACGAGCTACAACTGCATTATCTCTCGTTAGATCGTGTCTCGTTTATCTCACGCTGCATCAACGGCGATCCAGTTTATAGCGCATGCTGCAAACGCGACTTTCTCCCCCTATCTCTCGCATCTTCTTCCTCGTTGACGTCAAACAGACGTCGCATGATGGAATCGTCGACGATACGACGCAACGAGTCCGCGTCGTCGTAACGCGACATTATCGGGAATCAGGCTGCCTGAATTGAGTAACCCTTGACGATCGCTTCCTCCGCGGAATCACGATCTGACGTTTAAGCAACGGCGAGTGAAATCGAGAGGATACGAGAGAGACGGTGGGGGAGCGACAGATTGTCGAAAGACCGCGAGAATCGAGACTCGTGGAGAAGCGATCGATTCGACCTTTCTGTAGTCGATCATCATCTTACGCGTCAACGAATATCGGCGAAATCCGCTAGGTTCGAATTCTCGCCGACGGTATTTTCGACGACTTCTATGCGGGAATGCAGTTCGGCAGACGTTTACCGCTGCTGCTGTTTCTTAATCGCGAATTCCTCGATCGATTTCAAGACGCTTCTGAAATCTGTGAAAATCTGCGCTTACTTTAACGGAATTTTAATCAGGGAGAAGTTTTGTTTTGTAAAAAAAACGTATAACGTCGAGAGAAAGAGGGAGGAGGGGGGAAACGAGATAAATCGGCTTCAAATTGATCGAAGAAATTTCAATTAAAAAAAATAATATCGTAGAGCTGAAAGTCACTCTCTATAATACAAGATAGATAGTTTTTAAATTGAAAACTGAGAGAGAAACAGGCATTAAAAGTACTCTCTTTACAAAGAAAACATTATAACGGAGTATTTCGTACCATAAGAATAATTTACGACATGCAATATTCGACCGTTATATAACTAGGCGTGCTACGATCTCAAAGTTGGAATTATCGCCGATGTTGGCAAACTATACAAGATCCCCGACACGCTATTTTTACTTGTAACATTTACTCCGTGATTTAAGAAAGATACCCAAAAGCTTGCAATAAATGTCTCTTGTACTTTATGCGTGTTATATCGAATCGTATTATCGGTACCTGTCGGTTCTCTTTGAAATGTTTACGTACTTGTCTTAGATAAAGCACCGAGTGCAACCTTGCAGAGCAAATACGAAGAACACAAATTAATATTTGACGTGCACTTAAATGCAAACAAAAGCGCTGAACAAGAGAAAAAAAAGTTTTATTGACAATTAAATAATATACAAGATACCGTAAATCACTGTAATAATATAGGAAATATTAAAATTTCGCGAATCAGCAAATCTCGTAAATATTTATTGAGAAGATACGAGGAGACACTATTGATGATCATAACATATGATAGAGAGATGTGAAATATAATATTTCTGCTTATTACTATCGTTTTTAATCAGTATAATTATTAAACTAACAAGATGCGAAAAAAAAAATAATATCCGGTTTTCAGACTTTTTAGCTTTTTCCGTTTTCATGTCGCGTGCTCGAATGTAGGTGATTTCTAAAGTAAGTCCGTCGTCGCTTGCAATAAGAGCTCGATGTTTGATTTGAAGCCGTGGTTAATACACGTTAACGACCAATGTCGAATAGGTAGGTATCGAATAGTTAGCGGGGAATCGCAAAACGATTAGAGAGAGAAAAAGAAAGAGAGAGAGAGAGAGAGAGAACCGGCTCGTAATGTGCCGTGCGAAGGACATTGAATCGCGAAGAGTAATAAAATCCCGATCGGCGCGCAAAGCTCCAATTTCAATACTTCGACTATCAAAACGACGACGGTTTTTTAATTATCGATTTTCCTCCAAGACCCGGCCATCCGTTTACTATCGATCGCGCGGGGGGAGAGGAGAACTCATCAACCACCGACGAGAGCGTTCTCTGATCGTGAGAACGCAAACATCGCCGCTATTTTTAAAGCGCGAACAACACATGCTTCGCTCGTACCATCCTCTCATAAAGCACAATTCTCCGCATTTCCGAAAGCTTTACGATAGCAGATCATTGTTATCTCACGCGCAATTTTTTATGCAATTCTTTGATGCATTTCGAGATAGATAATAGCACGGATTGTGAGAGATATAAATATTTTGTTGTGATGTTGAAGAAATATTGATACATTAATAGTTTCATTTCGTTCTTATCACGTTGCACAAAGAAAATAAAGTTATAGAATATTATTATTTTTAAATGTGTGCTAACATATGCAATTTGTAGAACATTAATATAGATTATTTTTAAATAATATATATATATAAAATTTTTAAGATATTTAAAAAGTATCGAAATTTTTTATTTTTCTATCTGCTCTATAATGCAACGGAGCATTTAACTAATAGTGCAAACATTTCTCGAACCATGTTGCTTTAAGCCAGAGAATATTTATTTTCTTCGAAAAGATAAACACAAAACATTAGCAATCGTGCAATTCATACTTTATACAATATTCAACAGGTAGCTTTACAAAAAAGAATTTTAAAAAATATTTGCGATTGCTATAACAACCAGACACAACACATGTAGTATTTTTAATTGCTAAAATAATCATTTTTGTACACGACACTCTTGCGACAGACAATTAAAAGATATCGAAATTATCTCAATCGAGATATAATCGCGATGGAGAGCGAATTTTAATATTTATGATAAAAGGAATCAGCATTAATTGTTTCTACCATGATCACATTTTCTCCAACTTCGCATATATTGACTCATCGATGTTGAGCGACATTAATGAGATGCCTGTTTACCGCAGAATAATAAATCAACGTGTAATAAATTTCATCGATAGTCAAACACAATAAGCTTAATCGGCCGGGAATAAATAAATATTTCGATAAAATCTAAATTAATGAACATTGAATAACCCTTTAAACGATGAAAGGCTATTAGTCCAAGAATGGCTAATAATTTTGATGAAATTTGGATTAACAAATATTCTTCCGTCGCACTATTTTTACAGCACGAAAATCTTATCTTATTATTGCGTGATGCGTATAACGCAATATTTTCCGTGCTTGCAAATGGATGCCAATAACTATCGATCTCGAAGGCGGCGAGTAGGTAGGACATCCGTATTTTTCTCCTAACAAGTTCACCGACCAAGCACACGCGACCGAGCAACTCTATCCGCGTTATCGATCCACGATCGCCAGGCGTATCGCGATCCTAAAGAGACCCACGCGCATCCGTTTGTTCTTCCTGTCCCGTCGAGGCCAGGAAGTAAGCGTGGGTGACCGAAATTGATAAGTAGCTCGGCATCGGAATAGTTCGCGCTCGTTAATCATCGCGAGTTTCATCCCATTTGCGCAACCGGGGACCGGCTGATTAACTCAAGTTCTTGTTAAAATCATATCGCAATTATAAGTTAATTGCCGCGTGATTCTTGTTATAATTAACTGTTTAGAAGAATTAATTTTTCGCTAACATTTTTTTATCGGCAACTCCTAAAATTTAGTGTTTACTTCTGCGCGTTTTGACGCAGTCTCGGCTTTTCAAGTCTAAAAAACATCGAAAGCTGCAGTTTTGAATATGCAAGGGAGCGTTTAAATAATATTGTACATCGTGCGAACGACTATGTTGCTTTTAAACCGCGGAGATTTAACGACGCAAAACAGGCGAAGTTAAGTCTTTACATTCACATGGTATCGTCGTTGTGGCACCACAGCTTATACGACACAGTGCATAAATGGCTTAAAGGGGTTAAAACGACGACGCTTTGCGAAAAAGCGGATTCACTATCTTTTATACCGAGCCGTGAATCCCCCTCCCCCCTCGAAAAAAATTCAAGCTTGTAGATTTATTATTTTGCGCGTTGTGGGAGAGAAATTACGTTGTTAAATTATTTTTAACTATTAGTAAGTTGCAGGGTGAATCATACGACTGCGATCTTCGTGATAAATGATTAGGCTTAAAAACATGATCGTCACGTAATGATATGCATAATTAGTGTCCGTTTAATTTACGCGCATTTTATGGCTAGGATCGTAACGATGATCATGTTTCATAAAAATCGAAGTGGAATGGAATGTACACACATGCTACTGTAAAAAGAGAAATATTCTTACTTTTAAAATATTTATTAATGTATTCCATTAATATATATATAAAATTTCATTATGAAATTTTAATGATAATGACGTAAATTTCTAAGAAGATATAATTATATTACGTTACATTTCGTTTCAACGCGCATTGGGAATAAAGTAGAAATAAATAATAAAATTTTTCCTTTTCCGATTAATTTTAAGATATTAATAAATTGAGTGTCGAGATATTTAACGAAAAAAAATTTTACGAAAACGAAGCAAATACCGCGAAAGTATAAGTGAATACATCAGAGTCTGTCTTGGAAGCAACTGAAACGCTCGTACATAAGAAGCAAGAAATTGTAATACTTGTATAGAGACCGGTATTAAGTAGAGTAGTTATAAAGTTAAACTGGGTTGTGAAATTAATTTCGATCGCGCAAAGT